ATCAGAATGAAAACTACTTTGATAGAGTGGAAGACACCAACATATCCCAGCTGGGGGAGTTGTGGAGTTTATGTTTGTGATTCTCAAAGGGCCCTCAAGAATCTCATTCCAAGATTTCCTTTTCTTTCACACTGATTCCCTACTCTCCAGCATTGCCTTCATGATACCAACAGTTGAGTTTGTATAAACTCTCCCTGAGCAGCCAAACATGATCACAAAGTTGAGGATGAAAGTGCCAGGAGGAAAAGCATAATAGCATAATAGACTTTCATTGATAGCTTCCTAAAGTGCCAGGGTCTGAGCGCTGTGTCTTAAATAGACTGTCTCACCGCACCACATAATGCCTGAAGGTGCACTGCACACATGATTTTTACTTGGTTTAACAGGACTGCCCAGCACTTCAATGTAACTTGTATCAGGAATTGTCAGGTAGAAGAAGATGAAGCCAGTTCTAATTCTGCTTCAGGTGTTCTGATTCCACACAGAATGAGCATGGTCAGTGTTCCCCTGTGATGACCCAGGCACTTTACCTTCCAATCGTGGTGGGAAGAAACCTTCTGCTCACCGTGTTCTTCCTCTGGAGTTTCTTTACACATCATGATGACCATGAGCCAGGGAAGGGTGTCTGAGCTCAATGTCAAAGATCACAAAAAGTGTAGTCATGGAGTCATTCAAGGAAGATCTTTCTCTTGGTCCCACTCCACGATTTCACTGCACTCCTGAAACTTCCTCCCCTGCACTTACAATCATCCCCCTCTATCTCAAAATGAGACACTCAGCTGAGGTGTGAGACCCCCACTCCTCTGCAGAAACTGCAGTACGAAAAGCAATAGACTTCACTGGTACTGATATTGTGACTTCTGAGACTGCACTGAATGGGACACAGTGGAAATATTTATACGCACCTGATGCGGAGACAATGTTGTGAAGCCTCGTGTCAATGTTCAGTATGTTTCTGTGCTGTCGGGGTTCATGAAAAGACCTCTGACACTTATTCTTGTCATCTGACTGATGCCTCAAAGAGGAACAAAAGAACATGGACTTGAAGCTTGCTTATGCAATCTTCTATAACAGGTAAACCAAACACAAACAACAACAAATTTCAGATAGTGTTATAATTCTTCAAGATTATTTTTCTTAGGATCCACAAAAATGCAACCTACTTGATACAGTGCATGCCACTATCAGTAGAAGAACTTGTTGTTCTTGTCCTATATAAAATATTTCAAAACAGTGGTGAAAGGAGTGAAATGGAATGAAAAATTTGATTTTATTGTTGCCTGATTGCAAAATCTATGCCCCACTGCTTCAAAATATACCTTTTCCACATAGAATGTAATCAGTTTTATACAAAACATCTTATTTCAGTTAAAATAAACCCATATTTTTAATTCCTCTCTTCCAAAACATTTTAGAAGATAAATACACTTTCACAAATGTATATGCTGTGTAGATTTTTTTTTTAATGGCTTTCTATCATTTCTGACTCCTCAAACCACATCTGTGATTGAATAGAACAAGCCAGTTGGGTCTCAGGACGGGGCTTCTCATGCCTGGATCCCAGATGACAGCCACTATGTGCACATGGTGAGCTGTCCCCGGGCCTGCCTGGGCTCCTGGAGCTTCTCCCTTCAGGGTGAGTACACCGAGGGGGGAGGTCTCCATGTCTGGGCAGGTCCGGGACCACCCACCACCTTCATTTGGTAGTGAATGGGATTGGGGAGGGGCACAACCTTGGGCCTGGGAGTTTAAACTTCCAGCAGCCACCCCCACCCCCGGCTGCTGGTGGGCCTCACCACGGGGCGTCTCATTCCTGGATCCCAGATGACAGCCACCGTGTGCACGTGGTGAGCTGTCCCCGGGTGGTCAGTGTGCCACTTGGTGCCAGGCTCTGTCTGCTGGCTGCCTGGCCAAGAAGCTCAGGGGTTTTGGTTCTTTTGAGTTGCTGCTTAGTGAGCTCCAGGTTGAACCCATTGTGCTTCTAGGATGTGAAGCATTTGTAAAGATTCCCATTGGCAGTAACTCTGCCTTTGTAAAACTTGTAATCACTGAACAATGGTGACTACCAAATACCAATCCATGCAGAAGGTATGGCTTGGGCTTGTCCTGTAGAATTATATCATGTTACCTGATATGATGATGGATCAGGTGAAAGGTCACATTAAGCAAGCCATCACATTAACTAGAACTCAAAAACCATAACCGGGTAAATTCTGTGAGGGATGTGTGGGCCACATCCTATGAAAATTCTAGCCCCACTGGTTATCTCAAGATTTGGGGTGATGATAGACTAAGCTAGGTGTGACCAAGGAGGCTGCCATGAATCACAGGTAAAGGAACCCCCAACAGTCTGGACTGGTCAAGGCAGCAGCACCGGAATATGCATCCTGTTTAGGGTGTGGGGTAGGCCAGGCTGCAACATTCATCAGCTCATACAAGGCCAAATGGAAGGCCAGACTGCACCGGGCAATGGCCTAAGCCCAATGGCATGTATAAGAACTGGGTCTGGGAGTGGATTAAGTGGACAAACTTGAGAAACTCCCTGGGCAAAACAGCTCCCGCTGATGAACATGGTGTCCAGACCTGGGGGTCAGACAAGCTGGTCAAAAGAGCTCCAACAGATGGCAAATGTGTCAATTGGTAATGGAATAGGGTAGATCAGGCAGTACTGAGCAAACCTTAGCCCACAAGCAAAACTAGAGACCAGGACGGAGCACAGGTCATGTCGAGCTAGGCTCTTGTACCTACTGGTCCGTGTGAGCCCAGTACGCTAACACACAGTGTCTAAGGCAGAGGTCAGGACAGGTGAGGGGCAGTGCTAAGCTGAGTCAGAGCATCCACTGGCATGCAAGTGATCTCTGGCTGGGAATAGACCCAGTTGGGGAGCTAATGGGACAACCCTAGCTGGGTTGAGGCTCCCACCAAGGGGTGTGTGACCTGGAATGGGGGCTGTGTTCTGATCTGGAAATGGTTGTAGTCTCCCTTGGCACAAGTGTGGGACTGGTATTGGATGCACTGAACCGGGCCAGACCCCAACACCCTCTGGTGTCCTGGAGGACTGGGATAGATGTAGGATGGACTAGGCAAGGTCTCAAACCCCTACTGAGCCATGTGTGAGCCATATGTGGGTATGGACGATCCATTGCTGGGCTGAAATATCCAACAGCAAGAACCAGTTTTGGCTGAAGACCAGTCAGGAAACGCCACTATGACAGGAGGTGGACTGTGTAGGGCTGGCTCATGGACCCAATGGTAAGCATGAAACCTAGCATTGGGAGAGGTTCTGATGGAGGAGCCTGGGCAACTCCTCTGGCAGGACACAGACGTGGCAGATAAGCACAAGAAACATGATAGGAAACAGCCCAGAACAGGCCATGGAAAGTTACCCACTAGCATACAATTGGCAGGGGTCAGGGGAAGACCAGGCTGAATCTGTCCACATCATCCACTGGCAAATCCAAGCACAAGAATAGTGTGGGTCGAGCCAAGTTTGGTCGCAACAAAGACTAGTGCACAATACAGAATGCCAAGGTGAGGTTTCCTGTACTGGAAGGGACCGCAGTGCCCAACCAGCAAGCGTGAGAACAAGGAAGGGAGGGGGCAGAGCTGGTAGGGGAATAAGGGAGGGTTCCTTTGCTGGACAGCTATTCCTGCAGGAGAGCGTGAGCTGGGATGGGGGCGGACCAGACTAGGCAGGGCTACAACACCTGTGCACCTCATGTGAGCTAGATCAGAAAAAAGCCAGGCTGGGCTGATTATTCCTACTGGTGCAAACAAAATTAAAGTGGGCGAGGGTTGTTTGGGCTTAGCCACAGCATCAGCTGGAATCTGGGCGTGGGAGAGGCCTGGGAGGGAAATAGTGGGCTCATCCCTCTTGGGTTACCACTTCCACAGGAGGGCATAAAACTAGGACAGCAGCTGGGGTGGAATGGTGTGTGGGACAGACTGGATTACTGCTACACATACTGGCAAACCAGGGAAGGGGGTGGGCCTGGTGTGGGTTATTGGTTTATGGGAGGGCCGAATACGTGCTGGTCAGAACCAGGCTAGACTGCAACACCCATTGGTTCCAGTGGAAGTCAGGAGTGAAAACAGAACCAACCCAGCAATTGCAACCACCAGCTGATCGGGAAGATGGATTGTGCCGGGCCCTGTACTTGCTAGCACATACAAGAATCTGGTTTGAGAACACCTCAGACAAAGTTTTGTTGGAGATCTTTCTAATCTAAATGCTGGACTCAGAACCCTAACCATGAAAAGAGAGAAGACAGAACAGGTCAACCAACTTTCTCAGCTATGATGGACTATGTCCATCAGTGGATTCTTCAAGGACCTCATAGTGCTTGGACTGGCAAGATTGGCAGTGATTCATAACTGTTGAAATATCAAAACCACTTGAGCAAGAACCTCAGAGCATACCCTATATCCAGGACCTGGGGATGGTGGGAAATTGGGTGGGCCTTCTCCCTTAATACCCCCCTTTAAACATGAAGGAAACAATATGGAAAAAAAAAAGCCAAAAATTCTCTGTTGCCATTGAATAGAGTCCTTCCTGGTGCATTTAATTGGCCATAGTGACTGTAGTTTCAATACTCTTGGTGATGTCTTGTCAGCACCTCATTCCCTTCAAGAATTTCACATGGCATTTGAGAGCATAAAATAACATGCGTGCATTCAAAACCCTTTTGTTTGGGTCCATTTGTTCTCAAAATCTTAGAGTTCCCTATGCATTGTATGTATAATCAGTTGAATTTAAAAGGTGTACTGTGTGGCTGCCTTCATTTCTTCTGACAGCACTGTATTCTTTTCCTAAAGGAGTCCTGGTTATCCTGAAACACAAAACCACACACGTCTCAGCATTCCATCTCATAAGCTTCTCAGAGGATCCAACTGTCCAGCCTCTCCTATTGGGACTACTCCTCTCCATATACCTGCTCACGGTCCTCAGGAACCTGCTCATTATCCTTGCTGTCACCTCTGACTCCCACTTGCACACACCCATGTACTTCTTCCTCTGCAACCTGACCTTGGTTGACATGGGGTTTATCTCCACCACAGTTCCCAGGATAATGGTGGACATTGTCATCCACTTCACAGTCATCTCCTATGCCAGTTTCCTGAATCAGATGTCTCTCTTTCTCATCTTTGGATGCATGGATGATTTGCTCTTGAGAGTGATAGCCAATGATCGGTTTGTCGCCATCTGTCACCCCCTTCATTACAAGGTTATCATGAACTCCCATCACTGTGGCTTCTTAGTTTTAGCATTCTTTGTAATTAGCCTTTTGTACTCCTTCACGCAGACTTTGATGGTCTTCAGAATTACCTGCTTCAAGAGCATGAACATTTATAATTTCTTCTGTGACCCTTCTCAACTTCTCAACCTTACTTGCTCTGACACATTCACCCACGACATGGTCGTTTATCTTATTGGCAGCATGTTTGGTGTTTTTCCTATGTCAGGGATCCTTTACTCTTACTATAAAGTTGTCTCCTCCATTCTGAGGTTCCCATCTCCAGGTGGCAGGTACAAAGCCTTCTCAACCTGTGGCTCTCACCTGAAAGTGGTTTGCTTACTCTATGGAACAGCTCTTGGAGTGTATCTCAATTCTGTTGTAATCTAAGGATTTGATTAGCACTGATTAAACTGAATACTCAGGAATTGGGCTTGGGGCTAAAAGCACCTGGTCTAATCAGACTTTTTAGCATCCTATTGTTCTGTTAAAGATGGGTGTGTGTGGGGGGTATATAAGGAGTAGTAAAGAGAGGCTTGAGAGACTTCCGCCATCACTGGTCTCCTGTCTGTGCCTCATCCCCCAGACCCTCACTGTGTCCACGTTCCTGGCTCTGCTGCTGGAGCAAACGACGCCTAATGTGGGGCATGGCATGAAGGACATCTGAGGGACCCCTGGACCTATGAAGGTAAGTTTAGAATTTAGGAATTTTTCAGGGGCATAACTGATTTCATCCCCAGACCCTCTCCCTGTGCTAGGGTATGAGGGACAATCTGAGGGACCCCTGGAACTCTGGAGGAGCATAATTAACCTCATCCCCAGACCTTCTCTCCATCCTGGAGCATGAGGGACAATCTGAGAGACCCTGAAATCTAGAGGCAAGTTAGAACTTAAAAACTCTGCAAGGGCATAATTAATTCCATCCCCAGACCTTCTCCCATCCTGGGGCATGAGGGACAATCTGAAGGACGCCTGAAATCTAGAGCCAAGTTTAAAAATTTTTGCATGGGCATAAGTAAAATTTATCATGAGGCAAGAACTCACTAAAGTGCAGGTGATTAAAAGAATCGGAGATCTGCTCCAGTTACAAGGCACCGACACTAAGCTTAAGGGCTCATAAAAGTTCGTTGAAACTGTCTGCGATGTATTCCCATGGTTTGCTCTCACTGTAATCACCTTCTTTCTCTGGCACTTGGCAAAAAGTGCTTTGCCATGCCCTCAAGCAGTGTGCAATCCCGCTGTACAAAATTGTCCATTAAAAGAAGGAGAGAGCTGCAAATCAGGGTAAAAAAAAGGAGAAGGAACCCCAAACCAAAGTCTGGAGAAAGTGTGCGAAGATTCGAGGTCCTCTTCTGAGGAGGATGAAGAGGAAAAGGATGGAAGTGAGTTTGTCCAGGATCCTCCACCTGTAGAGCGTGTGCCAAGCAAAAATCTCTCTTGGACAGGCACAGAGCCCTCTGTGCCACCTGAGCCATTGGTGCCATCATATCTGGGCACAGTTGTCAAAAATTTACACGAGCAACTTCAGCGTCTCTCCCTTCAGTTGAGGCATTAATACAGTGGATGTGTTGTTGGGGCTTGCACTGGAACCCTGCTTTCAACTTCTCTTTCAGCTGTGCAACACGTGATTCAGCAAGCACAGGAGCAGGGAGACCCTGAGGCAGCTGCCCTTGCTAGGAACTTTGCCTTCCTGGTAGTTGAGGTAGAAGATCAGCAGGGGGCAGAGAATCAGACAGCACCTGGCACTGTCCTTTGAGGACATAAAGAGTCTGAGGGATGCTGTTGCCAAGTATGTCTCATCGACCCCTTTCACCGTTTCCATAACTGAAGCTTTGACACCTACCAATTTGACCCCAGCTGGTAGGAAACAGCTCTTTAGGGCCACTCTGTGTGGGGGCGATTTTCTAATGTGGAAATTCAAGTTCTATGAGCTTGCCTTGACACAGCATGGCAAAATGCCCAGGCAGGCCTTCCTGAGAGAAATCATGTTATATTGTCAGGAGAGGGGAATTTTACTAATGTACAGAATCAGCTTAATTATGACCCAGGTGTTTACGCACAGACCACTGTTGCTGCAGTAAGGGCCTGGAAGTCTTTATCACCAAAGGGCTCGCTACATGCACATCTCTCCAAAATTGTCCAAGGCCTGGATGAGCCCTACCAGGCTTTCGTAGATCACCTACTGGTAACTGCAGGTAGGGTATTTGGTGATGCAGATCAAGCCATGCCTTTCGTAAAGCAACTAGTAGATGAAAATGCCAACAAATTGTGCCAGGAGGCAATTAGACCTTGGAAGCATAAGCCCCTTAATGCATATCTTAAACTTTGCAAGGACATCAGGGAAGGACAGATAATGGAAGCAGTCATTGCAGAGGCATTGCGTGGTGGCACAACCATAGGCTCGAGATGTTAGGGTCCAAAATCGCCCCTCTCTGGGATAGCAAAGAACCAAACATGGATGCAATCAGCAAGCAGAGTTTATTGAGCTGGCTAGCCAGGGTCAAGCTCCTCACATGGACAAGCAGGACTGGTGGATGAAGCAAGACCCCGAGCTAGGGAAAAGCCAGATTCTTATAGGCCAGTTTGGCTATTGATGACAAGACAAAACTATTCTAAGCTAAGTGGTTAAAGATGCAAAGCAATAGGTAACATATTTGTGAAATACAGACCATGGGGCTATTCTATTTTTACCCTTATCGGGGCTACTGACCCTTACTTACATCCTGAGCCTGGGTGTGGGGGACAATGGGCTTTTGCTCTTACTCTTATCAATGCCTGCAAAAAACCCACTGACCCTCACAGCCTAAGCCTGGGAGTGTGGCCCAAGTTATTTGTAGAAACTTCTTTTTACTTTAAATTCAAGTTGCTTTTGACTTACTCAAACCACTTCTAATCTCTAGATCTTTTAACATTTTGGTTGCCTCTAACAGGGGGCCCACCCAAAACAGGGATGTTTCAAATGCAGCTAGATAGGGCATATCCGTCGGAACTGCCAACTCCAGAGTTGTGCACAGGCTCCTGTTAAAATGGACAGGCAGCCCCCAAGAGGTTGCCTCCAATGCCAATGTGGGAAACATTGGGCAAATGAATGCAGGTCCAAAATAGATGTCTCCAGGCAACCATCTGAGCCAGGAAACAGGAACATGGGCCACCCCCAGCCCTCACAAGCACCAATGTATGGGGCAGCAATTCAGTTTGTCCCTCAGGGACAAAGGTCATTCATGACCTTGTCTGAGGGAGCCCAGGCAACAGAGGATGGGACCTCCACACCACCTCCTACATCATATTAACACCACAAATGGGGGTGCAGGCTATTCCCACAGGAATTTATGGGCTATTACCCCCTGATACTGTAGGACTGCTGCTGGGATGAAGTAGCACTGCCTTGAAAGGAGTTCACATTACCCCAGGAGTGATTGATGCAAACTATACAGGGGAAATTAAAGTTTTACCCAGTGTTCATGCTCCAGTTGCAGTTTTGCCCCAGGGACATGAATAGCACAATTAGTGCTGCTCCCCATGGTGAAGTCAGATAATGCTTGCAGGGCTGGACAGAAGAAAGGAGGGTTTGGTTCTGCTGGTGTTGCCTTTGCTTATTGGGTTGCTGATGTGGGAGGCTGCCCTACTTTAGAGTTGAGTATAGAAGGAAAGGAACTTACTGGGCTCCTCCACACTGGCACCGACCACCACTCTTATTTCACAGAAATATTGGCCCCCAGGTTGCCCTGTTACACCCACCATGACCACCCTGCAAGGATTGGGGATGACGCAAAGTCCCCTAGTTAGCTCCAGACCACTAGCCTGGAGGGATAAGGGAGGAAACGGTGGCCATGTTACTCCTTATGTAGCACCAGGCCTGCCAGTTAATCTATGGGGGAGGGATATTTTGCAACTGATGGGGGCAGTATTAGTATCTGGTCAGAAAATAGCTATGCAGCAGATGGAGAGGAATGGCTACATTTCTGGAAATGGTATAGGGAGAAAGCTGCGAGGAATTACACAACCAATCTCTGTGGAACCTAAGGAGGACAGGAAGGGGCTAGGGCATTTTCCCTAGGGGCCATTGTGATGGCTGCTGAGGTTACTCCACAGAAGATTACAGGGAAAAGTTCTTAACCCATTTGGATTGACCAATGGCCCCTTTCTTCAGAAAAAATAGCCGCAGTTAAGGAAATGGTTCAAGAAGAGCTAACTGCTGGACATATTGTCCCTTCCACGTCACCATGGAATACACCTATTTTTGTGATTAAAAAGAAATCAGGGAAGTGGAGACTTTTACAGGATCTCAGAGCAGTGAATGCTACCATGGAGATAATGGGATCACAGCAGCTAGGGTTACCACTGCCTTCTGCCATTTCAAAAGACTTTAACATTGTTGTGATTGATTTAAAGGATTGTTTTTTTTCCCCCCCCAATTCCCCTTCATCCAGAGGATCCCCCTTATTTTGCTTTCAACGTGCCCTCTGTGAATTTGCAAGAACCATTTGAACAGTACCAATGAAGGTTTTTGCCCCAGGGAATGGCTAATAGTCCTACTATGTGTCAGATTTATGTAGCTGTCACCTTAAAACTGGTGCGCACCAGCTTTCCCTCTGTGATGATTATTCATTATATGGACAATATTTTACTGGCAGCTCTATCTGCTCAGGTGTTGCAATCCTGCTTGTGTAAGTTACAGCAAGAGTTAGAAAAGGCAGGATTGGCTATAGCCCCAGACAAAATACAACTTGTTTCTCCATTTAATTATTTCAACTTTTTCAGAATTGTATTAAGCGCCCCCAAAATTTCCATAGCCACAGAAAATTTGCAAACTCTTAATGACTTTCAAAAATTGTTAGGGGATATTAATTGGATGAGACCCAGTTTGAAACTTACCAATGGCAGATTTGAAGCCTTTGTTTGATATCTTAAAAGCCTTTGTTTTATATCTTTGTTTGATTCCTCTCCAGCATCTCCTAGGGTGCTGACTGTGGAAGGACGTCAGGCCCTACACAAAGTTGAGATTGGCATTGAACAATCCCATCTGACCAGGATTAATTACAGTGGCCCACTTTTATTTTATGTTGTAACATACCCATATAGACCTACAGGGGTATTTTATCAGCAGGGGCCTATATTTTGGGAACATTTGCACCTCTCTCCTGCTAAGACTATTATGCCTTACTATTTGGCCATAGCAGTTAATACAGAAGGCCTCTAAGAGCACCCTAAGGCATTTTGGGAAGGTCCCAGATACTATTATTTTTCCATACACTCAGAAGCAGCTTTTGTGGTTGCAAAATATGGAAGAGACCTAGGCAATACTTTTGAGCACTTTAAATGTTAATTTTGACAACCACTATCCCAAGGATCCCAATGTACATTTTTTTTTTTAATTTTGCATCCTGTTG